GTGTGTGTGTGTGTGTGTGTGTGTGTGTGTGTGTGTGTGTGTGTGTGTGTGTGTGTGTGTGTGTGTGTGTGTGTGTGTGTGTGTGTGTGTGTGTGTGTGTGTGTGTGTGTGTGTGTGTGTGTGTGTGTGTGTGTGTGTGTGTGTGTGTGTGTGTGTGTGTGTGTGTGTGTGTGTGTGTGTGTGTGTGTGTGTGTGTGTGTGTGTGTGTGTGTGTGTGTGTGTGTGTGTGTGTGTGTGTGTGTGTGTGTGTGTGTGTGTGTGTGTGTGTGTGTGTGTGTGTGTGTGTGTGTGTGTGTGTGTGTGTGTGTGTGTGTGTGTGTGTGTGTGTGTGTGTGTGTGTGTGTGTGTGTGTGTGTGTGTGTGTGTGTGTGTGTGTGTGTGTGTGTGTGTGTGTGTGTGTGTGTGTGTGTGTGTGTGTGTGTGTGTGTGTGTGTGTGTGTGTGTTGTGTGTGTGTGTGTGTGTGTGTGTGTGTATGTGTGTGTGTGTGTATGTATGTATGTATGTATGTATGTATGTATATATGTATATATATATATATATATATATATATATATATATATATATATATATATATATATATATATAGCCGGAACTTGTTCTTAATAATTGCTATTGTTTTTATTATCATCATCAGTTTGTTATTCTTATACACATCAATACTTTTTTGTTGTAGTTGATATTGGTATTGTGTATTTGCTATTATTCATGTTATTGATAGCATTATGACCATTATTATCACTGTTATTGAAGTAGTGCATCGTGATCCTTTCAGAATGAAGTGCCATGGGTCCTCGGCCACAGAAAGGAACCTACTCAAAGGTCAAGCCGGCCCCAAAGACCGAGGAAGAGAAAAGGAAGCATTTCAAGCAGAGGAAAGTCATTCCAAAGTTCAGCGACCTTTTTATTAACAAGAATGAGAACGAGAGTGACCCCTTTGACGCCTTGTTTGAAACTAGCAATTCGGTAATGTTGCACTGTAATTGTAAAGTAGGGTAGGTTTACTAGTTATAATATAGATTGATATATCATCAGAGTGATTTGATTTTACAGTCTTTGCTTTGCAGACTTGCCTTGCATATGGAAATGATTGATGGCAATACTTATGTGTGTGCTGACATTTTCACAGCTGGGCATATGTTGTTAGTATTAGTATGTTATCCTTTACATCATGATATGTCTGTAATAAGTATTGGGAATGATTAAGTATGAACAGGTGTCAGTCCAGACAAAAGATTATGTAGCATTGTTAAAATAGTTTGGAGTTACTTTTATTCTTGGTAATGATGGGGACTCAATGTGGTTAATAAGGGAGTAATGTAATCTTAATGTCTTAACATTATTGTTGTATTTATGTATAGAAAAACAGCTTGGATGAGTCTTGCCAAAATCAAGAGCTCTAGAACTTTTTGCAGTGAAGGTAATTGCCTTGTTTCTTGTTCCTTTCAGGATCTTGGTAAACTGAAGAAGTCAAAACGCAAAGTTCCGGCTAAACAGAGAAGACCACTAGCTGTTAACAACTCGCTGTTAAACAGTAGTCTCGGCAGTAGTCATAACTCTGCCAATGATACGTTTGACAAACTCTTGAAAGAGGCAAAGTAAGTGTCACAGGCAGAAATCATTACATTTTTGAAGCTTTGGATTAAAAAGTGTAATTACATCACTAGAATACTAAGTGAATATTTTTCTGGTGGTGGGTTAGTATCAAATGTTTTCTTAGAATATGTTATCTACTTAGGCACTTCAGTCACCAAATAGGCAATTACTTGGTCTACCTGATCACATTGAATTTTTATGTAGAAAAGTTTTTATTTGTATTACTAGTATTATTATTTATAAAATTAGAATGATAACAGTTGTACTGCTGTTGACAAGAACATTAACCCATGGATTTATGTACTGTCTCCTATAGGTTTTTTGTGAATTTCGTTACATACAGATGACTCCACATGTGTTCAGCCAGTAAGGAGTCTATCAGTAGGCCCTAGTTACCGATTTCCTCATTCCTTGAATTGTTGGGGGATATATATATATATTTATATTTATGTGTGTGTATATATATATATATATATATATATATATATATATATATATATATATATATATATATATATATAATTTTTTTTTTTTTTTTTTTCTCTCTTTTTTTGCCTCTTTTTTTTTTTCTTTCTTTCTTTCTTTTCTTTTTTACCTGGTTGATATTGATAATGTGATTAATGTTATGATTATTAAATTGCTATTAAAATTGTAATGACATTTAAGACGATGAAATAATGCAAAAGACCCTTTCCAAAAGTGGAGGAAAAGGGTATACAGATGAGATAGGTAGGACTAATAACTGACTCCTTGGTGACTAAGCACTTGTAGAGCCATCTATTTGTAAAAACAGTAAATTGACTGATATTACATTGGGCATGTAATCTTGCCATCCAGGCTGATTGGGTTAACCCATTGCCAATGGGGAAAATGAATAAAAAATGGGGAAAATGCTGTGCTCATTTATTATATTTTTTTGTGAAATGTCTGCCCATAGATGCCTCTGCCTTACCTAATTTCACTTTTCCTTGAATTGGTGGGAAAATGTACTTTTTACTAGTGCTATGAATATTGATGGTGTTATTTTTATTATAAGCATTATTAATATATTATTATAAACATTAGTAGTAGCAAAATAAGATAGCGTAAAATATTTTCGTAAATTAAAGAAAAGGGTGAACAGGCGAGACAGGCAGTACTCGTAATTGGCTGATTGGTGATTTAGTACAAGTGTAGCCATCTATGTGTAATAACAATCAAACTAGTAAACTTGCTGTGGGCATGGCATGTATGTACATGCAATGGCTGTCGGGAAAGGGTTAATAATGATGATGATTTTTCTTTTCTCTTATGTTTCCTTTTAATCCAATGCTGCCGAGGAAAATGAATAAAAAATGAGGATAATGCTGTGCTCATTTTCTATATTTTTGTGAAATGTCTCTGCACATACATGGCTATGCTAGCCATCTATCAAACAAGTAACACACAGTGGGCATAGCACATACGTACACGTCATGCACTGTTTCCTGTCAGTGCTGAAAAGTTAAAAATAGGTTATTAAGTCTCATGAGTAAGCAATTGAGAGACAAAGTATGAAAAGGAAGGAAGTATTTTCAAAAATGTTATTATTGTTTGCTGATTCATTCCAGATTACCCTCTGTGGTTGCAAATAGCAGTAACCAGCTTTCATCATCAGCTGGAAGCTCGCTAGAAGTTGATGGAATCTTATATCAGTCCCTCTTCTCTTCAGTAGCGTGTTCGACAGCATCTGCACAAAACCATGATCACAAAGAAGAAACAAAGCATGTTTTGCCCACCAAAGAATCTAAGAAGGAAACTGAAAATAAAAGAGCAAACAAAAAGAAAAAAGAAAGAGATGAAAAAGGTTCAAAGAGTACAACTGCTGGGAATAATGGGGGAAAGGCATCTGCAAGGAAGAATGCAACACAAGAGATTGCATCACTGTTTCCTTCTGGGACTACATTCAAGGTACCTGTGATTCAGCTGCACAGAATAAGCACCTTCACCACACCTCCTGTTTGTCGAACACAGAAGAAAATCAGTGAAGAAAAGGAGTTGGCAGAAAGCCCTTTTGAGGTCCAGAGTAAACCCCAGGAAGTGCTCAGGGGAAAGTCCAGTGACAAAGGGGATGTGATAACAAGCACTCCAGCAGATGTCAGCCGACTAAAGACAGTGGTGAAAAATGGGAAAACATGGAGCATGCCATCAACTCCAACCCTTGAACATCTAATATCTCCAGTGCCAAAGGAAAGCTACCTTGTTGCTCTTAGTAATTCATCAGATTTTGAGTCTCCGATGTCCTTTAAATCTAAATCAAATATCCACTCCAATCATGAAGGTCAAAGTGAACAATCTGTTGAGAGCAGATATGAGACCTGCAGCTCAGAGATAAATTGCAAGTCTTCCGACAGTTTACCAGCTGTGGCCTCTGAAGCAAAGGGAACCATTTCAGCATGCCATCAAAATAAAGAAAACCATAGAGATAGTGAGAGTGAAATAAAAGGTTTTATAATAGCTCTTTGGAATTGGACCGCAATGGGGAAAGGCATCTGCAAGGAAGAATGCAACACAAGAGATTGCATCACTGTTTCCTTCTGGGACTACATTCAAGGTACCTGTGATTCAGCTGCACAGAATAAGCACCTTCACCACACCTCCTGTTTGTCGAACACAGAAGAAAATCAGTGAAGAAAAGGAGTTGGCAGAAAGCCCTTTTGAGGTCCAGAGTAAACCCCAGGAAGTGCTCAGGGGAAAGTCCAGTGACAAAGGGGATGTGATAACAAGCACTCCAGCAGATGTCAGCCGACTAAAGACAGTGGTGAAAAATGGGAAAACATGGAGCATGCCATCAACTCCAACCCTTGAACATCTAATATCTCCAGTGCCAAAGGAAAGCTACCTTGTTGCTCTTAGTAATTCATCAGATTTTGAGTCTCCGATGTCCTTTAAATCTAAATCAAATATCCACTCCAATCATGAAGGTCAAAGTGAACAATCTGTTGAGAGCAGATATGAGACCTGCAGCTCAGAGATAAATTGCAAGTCTTCCGACAGTTTACCAGCTGTGGCCTCTGAAGCAAAGGGAACCATTTCAGCATGCCATCAAAATAAAGAAAACCATAGAGATAGTGAGAGTGAAATAAAAAGGTTTTATAATAGCTCTTTGGAATTGGAGAGCGGCCCATTCAAAGGGGTCGTTATACCTTCTCATGACAGTACCAGAGCACATAAAAGTAGTTCTGGTCATGCTGAAAGCAGTGAAGCAGAAACTAGTGTTGAGCTTAGCAGTATTATAGGTTTAAGGAATGTAGGTACTGCTAGAACACTGAAAAATAAAGTCACTACTAGAAAAAAGAAAGGAGCAGCTGTTGAGATTAGAAACAAATTTGAATCTTCAGCAGACCTCTCCAATTTAGAAAGGTCTTTAGCTCACATGTACAAAAGAAATGGGCAGTTGACTATCTCTAAACAAAGTCTAAGAATACACACAAAGCAGTTAGGCTCAAAATTGTCTCTTAAAAAATCTTGGGCTAAGCCTTCTCCAGTTCTGACCAGACTAAGGCAGAAAGCTCCCAGACAGACTAAGATTTATGATATCTCTATGGACAGTGTAGTGGCAGCACAAGAAAATACAAGAAGCACTTCCATAAGTCAGTTATCGGGCACGGAGAAATCCTTAGTCATAGGGAGACGGAAAAGAATATCTAAAGAGGCAGGTTGCGTGAAGAATCGCATTCAGCTGGAGACCTCGGACACAGACACTTCACTTGTCATTCCAAGAAGACCTCCTAAGAAGCTGAGTCTGAGAAAGAAAGTGAAGGATAATACTTCCTTGAAACCATCAAATAGAAATAGCCAGTTCATGTCTGATGCTGATTTTAGCAGTGTCAGTGTGGCAGAAAATTCACAGGTGAGGAGGAGGAGTGGAAGATTACTGGCCATGAAACGACAGACATTTGTGCCGTCTCCAAAGTTATTGAGAAGGAAGTATGCAAGGTTGTGCAAAAATAATTTGGAAGAAAGTGCAACCAAGTTCCAGTGTGAGAATGAAAGTTATGTTAATACAAGTAGAATTCAGAATCAAACTGATCACAAAGAACTCAGTCTGAAAAACCTCAGCAGAATGTCTGCTAAAAGTGTGCATGGTTTAGAGGCCACTGCCATGAGTTTTGGTTCTGTAAATACTACAGTATTTACTGACTTCCAGACCAGAAAAGAGAGGAGAGGTAACCAGTTAGTCTATTGTAAACTAGAATCAAGTGAAGACATGTTTGATACCTCAGATACCAATATATCAGAAGTACAAATTGAAGAGCCAGTTGGTTTTGAGAAACCACAAGTAATTGCTGAAGATCTTGAGAATTCAGAGCAAACAAGTTCAGATGAAGATGATACAGATTCTCAAGAACAAGCACCACCTGGTGGGGATTCCTGTCCCTTGGTTGAAAGCAGTATTCATGAGAATTCTCTTCTGGAACTAGAGGAATTGGAAGATGTATGCAGAAGCGTGAAAGTACAGTGTATGATTCCTGTGAAGGGAGGCAAGGGCTGGAGAAGATCCTGTCTCAGCATGGCTGCAGCAAAGGTAAATTGTTCATTTTGTCCTACTCCGGAAGGTAAAAAATTAGAAATGTTTTCTTTCTTTCTTTCTTTCTTTCTTTTAGATGGTGAAGAGAAAATAATCTTTACACATGCTACTCACACACATTTACGTGTCATATGCAGCAGACATGCATGTAGGACAGTCGTGGTTAATGTGATTAATATAAATTTTTTTCTTTTCTTTTCTTTTCTTTTTTTATAAGTGAATTTCTTATCAGAATAATTTTTAATTGATTTTAGATAAGATAAACATTTCAGATTGTATTTCAATTACTTTCTGTACTTTTATAGCCTGTATTGCTATAACATAAATGAAGAATGACAGTGTGTAAATGATTCAAGAATTACATTCTGAGTAAATTTTTTCTTCCTCTTCCCCCTCCTCCCCCTCCTCCTCCCCCTCCTCCTCCTCCTCCTCCTATCCCTCCTATCCCTCCCCTCCTCCTCTTTCTCTATCCCCTCTTCCTCCTCCTCCTCCTCCTCACCCCCCTCTCCCTCCTTCTCCCCCTCCTTCTCCCCCTCCTCCTCCTCCATCCCTGAAATAGACAAACAGACGGGAACTTAAACTCATTCAAAGAGCACAATTTTGTTCAGGAGAATAACTTCCTTAGCAGGCCTATTTTCTGTTTCTGCAGAGGTTAGCACATTGATTTGTAATTTCTGTCAATTATTGTATTATGAAGTATATTCTTGATTCTTTCCTCTTACAGATCCCTAACCGACAGGATGAAACAGGTATTTTTTATTTCCACTTTATTTTTGTTTGATTCGTTATATCCTGATAATTTAATTTGTTCTCTCAGGGAAGAGACTTTTTTTTTTTTTTTTTTTTCAAGATTTTGTTGGAGAAAGAGGGAGGTGAGTCCCTTTAGCGCACTTCTATTAAGAATCTTGTTATTCTAGGCATCCGTCGTCAAACAGTACACACAGTGTCCGATGGGCACAGACGAAGAACTGGGAGGCGGATATCAGCTATTCCTCAGGATATAAGTAAGTTATTGTAGTATTTTAGTTGTATGATCCACATAATGTTGTAGTGTGCAGTAGACATATCTAGATAGGCTTGTAATAGAAACAACAGTTTCCCATAAAAAACACATAGCTACACTTCATAGTGCAGGGCAGTGGAAATGCCAGACATGTTATGATGCAAAACATTAATGTTTACTGTGATTGATTGTTTATTAAATACATATCTGTTATAAAATCTCATCGTGCTGCACCTGAGAGTGGACAGGTACAGCGGGATCATCCTGTTTTGGAGGCTAGAAAGTATACAGTTATTGATCATTTAACCCTTCCACAGTGGGCACTGTCACATAATGTTTTTTCAAGAAGGGCCCACGGTTCTGAGTTACATATAAACGCGTGCACACACACACAAACATTCTCTCTCTCTCTCTTTCTTTCTTTCTTTCTCATATGCGTCTGGCAAGTCATTGGTAGTGTTGCCCATCCAGTGGATTTAATACGGAAATCATTGCCTGCCATAGAAGGGTTAAAGTTTAGTTCTCATCAGCAGTGCACACAACTGTTAGTACACTCTGGAACATATTTTATTCCATCTTTGATTGATTTTAGAGTGTAGTTTCTTAACGATAGAAGAGGGAGGAGCGATTAATGTTTCATCCACCAAGTGTCAGTGACATAAGAGTGAAATGATGAATAACAGGAATCCCCTGTATTAGCTGTATATATATGTTGTATGTATTTCTCCTTCAGGTAGACATATACAACAGATGGGAACTGCACATACAGTGGATTTGCACTCTTCACATCATACAAGCTTCCACACAGTGGTCAGCACTGATGCCTCTGAGCTTGCCATACCCTCTGACCCCAGGGAGTATGTTCTCAAGCTGTGCAGTCAAGTTGCTCCCGTCCCCATTGATGAGTGTTTCACAGAGAGGTAAAGGATAAAAAATTAATTGTTTTCAGCTGTGTTGCTAGTTTAAATACATAGTTCATAAAAAAAAAAAAAGTTTTGTGAATTCCTAATGACTGTAATTCCTCAGCTGAATCTTTCTCCCCAGCTTTTTCATTAATTAAATATGATTAAAATCAATGGAGATATTTAACCCTGGAGATAATTTTGAGATAAGTTTTCTATTTTGAGAAATGTGCATTGATACTTAACTAATTTTCTGAAAGATTCTGATGGCTTTCTTGCTCACGTTTATTGTCTTGATGGCTTTGCTGTTGTTGTTGTTGTTTTTTAAGTGTAACACTTTTAGATTTGAGTAGCAAATTATTATTTTCTTCTTCAGCCGTCTCGTCAGTTGTAAGAAGATCGGAGAGGGTGTATATGGAGAGGTTTTCATGACACGCCCTAACCCAAACAACCTTGAGGGGGCAACCGTCCTCAAAATCATGCCCATCGAAGGAGATTTTGAAGTCAATGGAGAACCACAGAAGAAGTTTGGGGAAATTGTCTCTGAAATTGTCATATCCCTGTAAGCCATATTGTGTTTTATGATTCAAATCCAACATGACTTTAGATAGACATCTTAACCTGTTGTATTTTGCAAAGTAGGAACTGCATGTACCTCATCTTATTGGAGTTTGAATTTCTTTTTTATGCATACCTACTCAAATTCATCATTTTAATGTGATTATGCATCTTGCAGGGAACTGAGCAATTTAAGAAAATCTGAAAATGAGCCAAATTGGACAGAAAACTTTGTAAATGTGCTAAACTCTTGGTGTGTCCAAGGTTCTTATATACAAGATCTTCTCAACATGTGGGATGTATACAATGAAGAAAAGGGTATGTAATATTAGTTGTTTATCTTAAGATTTCTTGCTAGTATAATCCTGTAAGAATAGGTTATTGAGGTTTGTGGATTATAATTATTTGGTGTAACTTATTAGAAAAAATTAATTAGATTCTATCAAACTTTTTTCCTTTCTTTCTCTCTTTCTTTCTTACTTTCTTTCTTTCTTTCTCTCTTTCTTGTTCTTGTTATCCCAGACTGATCACTCCTTGCTTCCAGGTTCTGAAAACGACCGACCAGATCTCTTCCCTGATTCACAGCTTTATATTGTATTGGAGTTTGGACATGGTGGAGGAGATTTGGAGAGCTATGTGTTCAATAATGCTGGGGAATCACTGGCTGTATTCTTGCAGGTAATTTTTTTTCTTCTTTCTGTTTCTTTTATGAGTCGGTCAAGCAGGAAACGAATGTTGAGATTCTTGTAACCCAACCAACCCTATGTTGAGTAGCCAGCTTTGAAGTTTATTTGCACAAAAGTTTGAGAGCTGTATTTCATAATGACAGTGGGAGTAATGAGATTATTATTATCATTATTGTTATTATTTTTACTTACTTATAAGCAGAGTTTATTAGATTTCCTTTCCAGTTTTCTTCAGTGATCTCCAAGTGTCTGCACTGGTATTGCATCCTGGGGTGGATGAGCATTAATCTAGTAAACACTTTTATTTGGATGTGACTAGATTACTTACTCATCCACTACAGTTTGGCCCAATCTTCAGAAATGGCTTCGAGAAAAATCTGACACAACCCATGAGATGTCATCGTGTAAACTCCCTTGGGCTAACTAGTGCCACAGTGCAGGCGAGGCACTCCACGCGTCTTGCATTTCTTCTTCTCTTTGTCTCTTTTTCTAATTTTCTCACCGTCTCTCTCTCCCTCTCCCTCCCCCTCCCTCTCCCTCTCCCTCTCCCTCTCCCCCTCCCCTCCCCCTCCCCCTCCCCCTCCCCCTCCCCTCCTCTCTCTCTCTCTCTCTCTCTCTCTCTCTCTCTCTCTCTCTCTCTCTCTCTCTCTCTCTCTCTCTCTCTCTCTCTCTCTCTCTCTCTCTCTCTCTCTCTCTCTCCCCCCCCCCCTTCTCTCTCCCCCCCCCCTCTCTCTCTCCCTCCTCTCTCTCTCTCTTTCTCTTTCTCTTTCTCTTTCTCTTTCTCTTTCTCTCTTTTTTTCAAGCACACAGCCTGCATCACAAAGAAATGGCAGGGAAGCTCTATTCTGAGTGAAAATATAAAAATTTATTGCTTGCATAGTATTTATTGTACCTGTTGCATCAATTGCCATTTTGTAAAATTTTATTATCTTGAGATTGTTTATCTTATTATCTAATTTGATTTGACACTGAATGCACATACATCTTTGTCTACACAATTGTGTTTAGGCAAGAGTTTGAATGCAGTCAAAAAATGAGTTAAAAATTCAAGATGCTGCCCCTTTCTCGTCTTGCCAACCAAGATACACCTACATCTGCCTGTTCTTTCATTTCTTGACATTTAGAATCAGTGATCAGTGCTTCTGCAATAAGGACTATGCCTACTTTTGGTGAAGAAAATGCGTGTGTGACTATAATAAAGGTTCCTTATTTTGAAATGGTATTCCTCAGAAATAAAAGTGATATGAGAAAATTGCAATATATCATGCAGTAACTTTGTAGATGAAGTTGATTTTGCATTATGTTGTCTGATGTTTGTGAATGGTGATAAAAATGTTGAGATTGTTTTAGGAATAACAACAAAAGTAATAATAGTAGATAAAAAAAGTAAATAACCCCTTCCTGATGGGTGACGCCAATAGGCGTGAAAACAAACTGCTTGAAAGCTGGCATGCGGCTGTAGCCAGTGATTCGGGCTGATATACTGAACTCACGCACCCAAAGTCAGCGCGCCGCCTTTTTTTTTGCCAGAGCATATAGTTTTTTTTTTTTTTTTTTCTGTTTTTGTTTTTGTTTTTGTTTTCTTCACCTGTCGTCATTGGGTTAAGAGTGGGAAACCAAGTCTCTCGGGAAGAACCTCAGATAAATTTGAATAAAAAAAAAAAAAGACTGTTTAATGCTCTTCAGAATGAAAAAAAAAGGATTCTGCTGTCTAAAAGGACAATATATATGTAAGTAATATGTATTTTATTGACTATCAAATCTGTGCCTACCCAATGGGGTCGGGTATCAGAAATCTTTCCGCATTATAAACTGGGGATTTCTGGCAACATCCAGATACTTGGCGCAGGAGTCCACTACGTGTAGCGGAACTTCCTGCTCCACACACACTGGTGCGTCTCCGCGTGTATAGCCATACCCTGCAGACCAAGCGGTTTGTTATGACAGGTGTAGACGTGCCCCATGAGGATAAGGTCAAAAGAGGAAAGTAGTAATTGAGATGAATCTCTCTCTTCCCCAGATTGCTTACAGTTTGGCAGTGGCTGAACAGGAGTTGGAATTCGAGCACCGTGACCTCCACTGGGGCAACGTGTTGGTAGCTCCCACAAAAGAATCTGTCATGGACTTCAGGGTAGCAGGAGCCACTTACAGGCTACCCACAAAGGTAGTTTTTCTTCCTTTTCTTTTTGTTTTATCACCTCCTCTCAGCCCACAACTCCATTATCCAGGATGTTGAGCACTGTGATAGATGCATAACAGCACAGGAATTTTGTATAGTTTTTCTTTCATTGTAAACTTTGTGTTTGTGTCATGTCACATCTTTCAACTTGTATTTTGCAAGAACCTAAGACAATTTTAATTTACAGGGACTGAAGGCTACTGTGATTGATTTCACCCTATCACGTCTTCATTTAAACCATTGTGTGATGTACAATAACCTTGGAGAAGACCCCTCATTGTTCACAGCAGAAGGAGACTATCAGTTTGAAATATATAGGCAGATGAGAAAAGCAAATGGGTATGAAATATCTGTGTTTTTGATGTTCTTTGTCTCTTTTCTTCTGTCTTTATCCACATTGCTTTTATTCAGTCATATGAATATTTGACATTTATTAGGTTAAATTTGAAATGAAGATGAGTAAATATTTATTAACACTTGTCATAATTGCAAAATATTGAAATTATCTTTCTCTTTTTTGGGACTTAGGAACAGCTCTACTTTGACAATAGTATAACTAGATATTTGTTATTTGTACCAACAGAAATGACTGGGAGAAATTCACACCATACACCAATGTTCTGTGGCTTCATTACATTTTAGACAAGATGATTGGCGAATGCTACTACAAGAAGGTGAAGACAAAAGTCCACTCCAGTAATCTTGCCCAACTTCGGAAACTTAAAGGAAAGATGCTGAGCTATGAAAGTGCGACAGATTTTGTTTTCCAGAGAGAGATGGATATTCAGTGATTGTTTTTTGTTTTTTTTTAGCATTCCTTTCCTCCTTCATGAATATCCTTCTCATGAAGCTTTAAGAAAAATTCAGCTGTTTAGGTCAAGAATAAGTGGATATCCTTGATTTTCTATTCTGCTCACTGTAAATTGAAGTGTAAATTTGTAAATATATACTTTTTATTATTTTTATGTTATTATTTCCCTCCCAAAGTTGTTGTTGTTGTTGTTTTTTTTGTAGTATGCTACTTTTGTGTGTGTGTGCAAGGTTTGGATAATACTACCTGTTTTTTCTTCTTCTTCTTCTTCTTCTTCTTCTCTCTCTCTCTCTCTCTCTCTCTCTCTCTCTCTCTCTCTCTCTCTCTCTCTCTCTCTCTCTCTCTCTCTCTCTCTCTCTCTCTCTCTCCTAAACTGTATATTTGTTTTGTTGTCATCGTAAAATGTGTTCTCAAAATGTATTTTCACAACGTACTTTATTGAAATCAGCAAGTAACATTTTCTAATCAAAGTCAGGAAAATAAATCTACTGAATTTAACTACTCGTAGGATTTTAATTTTATCATCTGTATATAGATATAGTGTCCTATCTATCTAGGAGTGATGTTGAATCTTAACTTGGTCACAAATTAGAACTTAGGCTTGTTGAATTAACATGAATACTTTAATCCAATGCTGCTGGGGATGGCATGTATTTATATGCCATGCCCACTGTGAATTTAATTTATTAAATTTATTTATGTTTTTGTGAAATGTCTGCCCATAGATGGCTCTGTTAGTACCTGATTTGAAATGGCGGGTAAAACGTATTTTTCACTAGTGCCATGAATATCGATGGTGTTATTATTATTATTATTATTATTATTATTATTATTATTATTATTATTATTATTATTATTATTATTATTATTATTATTATTATTATTATTATTATTATTATTATTATTATTATTATTATTATTATTATTATTATTATTATTATTATTATTATTATTATTATTATTATTATTATTATTATTATTATTATTATTATTATTATTATTATTATTATTATTATTATTATTATTATTATTATTATTATTATTATTATTATTATTATTATTATTATTATTATTATTATTATTATTATTATTATTATTATTATTATTATTATTATTATTATTATTATTATTATTATTATTATTATTATTATTATTATTATTATTATTATTATTATTATTATTATTATTATTATTATTATTATTATTATTATTATTATTATTATTATTATTATTATTATTATTATTATTATTATTATTATTATTATTATTATTATTATTATTATTATTATTATTATTATTATTATTATTATTATTATTATTATTATTATTATTATTATTATTATTATTATTATTATTATTATTATTATTATTATTATTATTATTATTATTATTATTATTATTATTATTATTATTATTATTATTATTATTATTATTATTATTATTATTATTATTATTATTATTATTATTATTATTATTATTATTATTATTATTATTATTATTATTATTATTATTATTATTATTATTATTATTATTATTATTATTATTATTATTATTATTATTATTATTATTATTATTATTATTATTATTATTATTATTATTATTATTATTATTATTATTATTATTATTATTATTATTATTATTATTATTATTATTATTATTATTATTATTATTATTATTATTATTATTATTATTATTATTATTATTATTATTATTATTATTATTATTATTATTATTATTATTATTATTATTATTATTATTATTATTATTATTATTATTATTATTATTATTATTATTATTATTATTATTATTATTATTATTATTATTATTATTATTATTATTATTATTATTATTATTATTATTATTATTATTATTATTATTATTATTATTATTATTATTATTATTATTATTATTATTATTATTATTATTATTATTATTATTATTATTATTATTATTATTATTATTATTATTATTATTATTATTATTATTATTATTATTATTATTATTATTATTATTATTATTATTATTATTATTATTATTATTATTATTATTATTATTATTATTATTATTATTATTATTATTATTATTATTATTATTATTATTATTATTATTATTATTATTATTATTATTATTATTATTATTATTATTATTATTATTATTATTATTATTATTATTATTATTATTATTATTATTATTATTATTATTATTATTATTATTATTATTATTATTATTATTATTATTATTATTATTATTATTATTATTATTATTATTATTATTATTATTATTATTATTATTATTATTATTATTATTATTATTATTATTATTATTATTATTATTATTATTATTATTATTATTATTATTATTATTATTATTATTATTATTATTATTATTATTATTATTATTATTATTATTATTATTATTATTATTATTATTATTATTATTATTATTATTATTATTATTATTATTATTATTATTATTATTATTATTATTATTATTATTATTATTATTATTATTATTATTATTATTATTATTATTATTATTATTATTATTATTATTATTATTATTATTATTATTATTATTATTATTATTATTATTATTATTATTATTATTATTATTATTATTATTATTATTATTATTATTATTATTATTATTATTATTATTATTATTATTATTATTATTATTATTATTATTATTATTATTATTATTATTATTATTATTATTATTATTATTATTATTATTATTATTATTATTATTATTATTATTATTATTATTATTATTATTATTATTATTATTATTATTATTATTATTATTATTATTATTATTATTATTATTATTATTATTATTATTATTATTATTATTATTATTATTATTATTATTATTATTATTATTATTATTATTATTATTATTATTATTATTATTATTATTATTATTATTATTATTATTATTATTATTATTATTATTATTATTATTATTATTATTATTATTATTATTATTATTATTATTATTATTATTATTATTATTATTATTATTATTATTATTATTATTATTATTATTATTATTATTATTATTATTATTATTATTATTATTATTATTATTATTATTATTATTATTATTATTATTATTATTATTATTATTATTATTATTATTATTATTATTATTATTATTATTATTATTATTATTATTATTATTATTATTATGAAAATACATATAACTGGCATGCAAAGTAAATTGGTAAAGTCGGGTAGTCAAGCCCCATCAAGGGACAGGAGCAAATGGCTTGGGATCTTGGACTCGCCTGGAAGATAGGATTGGATAGTAAGAGCTCTAGTATTCTTCATGCCCTCCCCAAAACCCCCAGAATTGTGGATCATAATATTGTGATTATAAAGGTCACTATACCATAGTTACATTAGCCATTACTGATGCCCACTATGCAACCAAGTGTGTAGATGTTGGAGGTAAAAGTAAAGCAAGTGATTACAAAGTTCCAGTGGTCATTGTTGGTGACTGCCTTTCCAATAACATGATATTTAATGAAACCATTGACCTAGCTCGTGTGTGTTTATCTCCCTCCCTCCTTCCCTCCTTCCCTCCCTCCCTCCCTCTCTGTGTCTCTTTCTCCCTCTCACTCACTCTCTCTCTCTCTCCCTCTCTCTCTCTCTCTCTCTCTCTCTCTCTCTCTCTCTCTCTCTCTCTCTCTCTCTCTCTCTATCTCTCTCTCTCTCTCTCTCTCTCTCTCTCTCTCTCTCTCTCTCTCTCTGCTGCCTTCCCCCCCCCTCTCTCTCTCTCTCTCTCTCTCTCTCTCTCTCTCTCTCTCTCTCTCTCTCTCTCTCTCTCTCTCTCTCTCTCTCTCTCTCTCTCTCTCTCTCTCTCTCTTTCTGCTGCCTTCCCTCCTCCCTCTCTCTCTCTCTCTCTCTTTCTGCTGCCTTCCCTCCTCCCTCTCTCTCTCTCTCTCTCTCTCTCTCTCTCTCTCTCTCTCTCTCTCTCTCTCTCTCTCTCTCTCTCTCTCTCTCTGCTCCTCTCTCTCTCTCTCTCTCTCTCTCTCTCTCTCTCTCTCTCTTTCTGCTGCCTTCCCTCCCCCACTCTCTCTCTCTCTCTCTCTCTCTCTCTCTCTCTCTCTCTCTCTCTCTCTCTCTCTCTTTCTCTTTCTCTCTCTCTCTGCTGCCTTCGCTCCTTCGCTCCCCCCCTCTCTCTCTCTCTCTCTCTCTCTCTCTCTCTCTCTCTCTCTCTCTCTCTCTCTCTCTCTCTCTCTCTCTCTCTCTCTCTCTCTCTCTCTCTCTCTCTCTCTCTCTCTCTCTCTCTCTCCTCTCTCTCTCTCTCTCCTCTCTCTCTCTCTCTCCTCTCTCTCTCTTTCTCCTCTCTCTCTCTTTCTCCTCTCTCTCTCTTTCTCCTCTCTCTCTCTTTCTCCTCTCTCTTTCTCCTTCTCCTCTCTCTTTAGGGGGGGGGTTAAATTAGTGATTAGTCAACAGTCTAGAGTAGCATGGGAAAGGGGAAAGATGGGTAAAGGAGGCGATGGATGAACAGGTTAATGTAGAATTAAGCAAAGGGGATTAGATCAAGTGAATGGTATGTATGCGCCTGAGAAAGGAGAACAGATGGCAAAGCAGAAAGTGTAGGATTCTGTAAGGATGCCTGACAGATTTGGAGGTTGGTGAATGTGAAAGGTCCGGGCTGCAATAACGCGTGGACAGGACAACAGACTGTGCGGAACTGAAAGAGGGACATTGCATAGGGTACGTAAGGGCGGATCAGAAGAGTGCATTAGACGAGTGTGGCCAATACGTAAGCGGGCGAGAGCCGTCTCCCAACGTCTGTTCCGATGAAATGAAGCTGACTAGAAGATTGATAGCTTTACTGTATGTAATTTATTAGTGCGGAGACTTGACGAGAAGGATTGTCATCGGGTATAAAGGAAGGTGTTAAAGTGGAAGTAATAATCCGTGGCTGGAATAAGTGAGAAACGTGGTTGGTGTGATGCGGACATACCGGCGGAGCACGCTAGAGTAGCTGCGTGACCATTGCCGGGGATTCCGACATGGCTGAGCACCCAGCCAAATTTGATTGTCTTATGGCGTGTGGACAGATAGAACAACCAGTTCTGAATCTTACAGACAAGGGTATTTACTTTATGAGAAATAATGAGTTACGGGGGTCAGTAAATATAGTGAAAGAGGAAGAAGGGAGTGAATATATGTTTTAAAGCAAACTGTAGTGCGTACAG